AGTAGAGGAAGTGAATGACCTTCACTATTGCACATTTTTATTTTTACTTTATTTTCATCTTTTACTTAAGAAACTAATTTTTTTCTTTTTTTCTTCACTTTATTTTACCTTTTTAATTATTACATTTTTATTTTTAATCAGTCATATTACTACTATTTTACCTTTTTGTAAAAAGTGTCATTTTATTTTCTCTTTATTTTACTTTGGGATTAGTGTTCTACATTATATTTTCATCTATCCTTTAGCATCATTTTATTCTATTTCAACTTGACCTATATGCCAACACTCTCTTCCTCACTTTTCCCCTTTTATTGTCCTGTTTCTCTTACCCTATTCCTGCTTTAGATTTTCCCTATTTCTTTTTCACCCGTTAAAATTTCACCCTACTTATATATCTAATATCCATATACACCTCTCTCTTCTCTTTATTCATTATCCAAATTTTTTTTTCTTCTCCATCCTTTTGTTCTTGTTTGCTTGGTTTTTTTATTGGTTATTTTTTTATGCTTGTTTGTTAGAATGTTTCACTTTTTCTTTTTGTGTTTTGTTTTGTGTGTTTCTGTTTTCCCTCATCTCACTTGATATTAGTTGCTGTTTGTATTTTGCATTCATCTCTATGTATTTGTTGCTTGCATTTGTTGGGATTAGTGGCTTTTCTATTGGAGTTTTATCCCCACGTAAATAGTTTTCCCCCCCTCTTCTTTTTTATTCTCTTTCTTTTCTATCTTACTTTTTTCCCTTTTCCCAAATTCCCTTTTGCACTTTTGCACTCCTTTTTTCTTTCTTTCTTCTTCTTTCTTTCTTTCTTATCTCCTAATTCTCTTTTCTCTGGTGGTCAACTTTATTTGGGGTTATTAGTATCATGAATACATTTGTGTTCAGTGCCTTGTGTGTTGTGCCTTGTTGTGTTGGATTTTGTGCCTTTAAATCAGCACAGGAGAGAAAGAACTACATAACCAAACACCTGGAAAAGAGAGATCATGAGGAGACAAAGAAACAGCCCGCATAAGAAAGAAAAGGAGGCATCATCAGAAAAGGAAGTAAGTGAAATGGAGGCAAGCAACCTGTCAGAAAAATAATTCAGAGAAATGGTCATACAGTGGCTAAAAAGAATGGAAGACAAATTCAACAATATATATAAGAACCAAGAGGAAATGAAGAAGAACCAAGAAGAAATGAAAAATGACATCACTGCTATAAAGAATTCAATAGAAAGCATTAATAGTACACTAGAAGAAGCAGAGGACCACATCAGTGAGCTAGAAGAAAAGTTAGGAAAAAAATTACCCAAGCAGAGCAGCTTCCACAAAAATAAATAAATAAAAAATAAATAAATAAATAATAAAAAGCAGGAGGAGAGCCTAAGGGAACTCTAGGACAACACGAACGAAACAACACCCACATAATAGGGGTGCCAGAGGAGAGGAAACTAAGCAAGAAATAGAGAACCTGTTTAAAGAAATAATGACAGAAAACCTCCCTAATATAGGGAAGAGAAAACACACACAAGTCCATGAAGCTCACAGGGACTCAAATAAAATGAACCCCAAAAGACCAATGCCAAGGCACATTATAATTAAATTGATAAACACCAATGACAAAGTAAGAATCTTAAAAGCAGCCAGAGAGAGACAGAAAGTTATCTACAAAGGATCCCCCATCAGATTAGTGACTGATTTCTCAACAGAAACACATCACGCCAGAAAGGAATAGAATGAAATATACAAAGTCATGCAAAGGAGGGGTCTGAATCCAAGAATACTGTACCCAGCAAGGTTATCAGTCAAAATTGAGGGTGGAATCAGAAGCTTCAGAGACAAAAAAGGACTAAGGGAGTTTACCACCACCAAACTAGCAATGCAAGAAATGCTAAAGGGTCTGCTGTAAAAAGAAGAAATAGGAAGTGAAGAAGGAACACAGGGGTAAAGAATAAAAATGGCAACAAACAAGTATCTATCAATAATAACTTTACATGTAAATGGATTAAATGCCCCAATCAAATGTCTTTACATAGGATAACTGTATAAGAAAACATAACCCATATATCTGTTGTCTACAGGAAACTCACCTCAGAAAAAAAGATGCACTCAGACTGAGGGTGAAGGGATGGAAAAAGGCTTTCCAGGCAAATGGAAATGAAAAAAAAAAAAAAAAAAAAAAAAGCTGGGGTAGCAATACTTATATCTGACAAATTAGATCTCAGAGTGAAGGACATAAAGAGATAAGGAAGGTCACTGCATAATACAAAAGAGGAGCAACCCAAAAAGAAGAAATAACTCTGGTAAACACATACGCACCCAATACAGGAGCACCCAAATACGTAACAAAACTTCTGGAGGATATCAAGGGAGAGATTGACAGCAATACAATCATAATAGGGGACTTTAATACCCCATTATCACCATTGGGCAAATCCTCTAAACAAAAAATCAGCAAAGAAACATCAATCCCAAATGACTCATTAGACCAGATGGAATTAATTGATATATTCAGAACATTTCACCCCAAAGCCACAGAATATACATTCTTCTCAAGTGCACAAGGGTCATTTTCAAAGATAGACCATATATTGGGTCACAGGCAAAGTCTCTTCAAATTCAAGAAGATAGAAATTATATCAAGCATCTTCTCAGATCACAATGGCATAAAACTGGAAATCAATGACAATAAAAACAATCCAAAAAAAACCCCCCAAAAAATCAAACACCTGGAGACTAAATAGTATGCTATTAAACAATGACTAGGCACCAGAGAGATCAAAGAAGAAATAAAAAAACATCATGGCAACAAACGCCAATGAAAACACAACAATCTAAAATTCATGGGACACAGCAAAAGCAGTCTTGAGAGGGGAGTTCATACAAACCTACTGCAAAAAACCTACTCTACAAACCTACTGCAAAAAACAAGAAACAATGGTAATAAATTACCTAACCCTACAACTCAAAGAGTTAGAAAGAGAGCAACAAGAAAAGCCAAGGGTAAGAAGAAGGAACAAAATAATAAAGATCAGAGCAGAGATAAATGATATAGAGACAAAAAACAAAACAAAAGATCAACAAAACCAAGAGCTGGTTCTTTAAAAGGATAAAAAAGATTGATGAACCTCTGGCCAGGCTCACCAAAAGCAAAGAGAGAGGACCAAAATAAACAAAATCAGAAATGAAAGAGGATATAACAACAGACCCCACAGAAATACAAAAGATTATATATATATATATATCTCATGAACATATATACCAAATTCCTCAACAAAATTCTAGCAAATCAGCTCCAGCAGTACATCAGAAAGATCATACACCATGACCAAGTAGGATTTATCCTAGGAATGCAAGGATGGTATAATATCCACAAATCAATAAACATGATATATCACATAAACAAATTGACAGATAAAAATCACATAGGCATATCAATTGATACAGAAAAAGCATCTGACAAAATTCAACACCCTTTCTTGATTACCATATTATTGGTTTAAGATGTGTGTTGTGAAGAGTAAAGCATTACAGGCCCACAAGTCATACATAGTAGAATCACTTTTCTCAAATTCAACCTCTTTATGATTTAGATTTTAGAAGATATCATAGTAGTCAAAAACAAATGTAGTGAGAAAGAAGGATAAAAGGAAATCAAAGGAGCTTTGAGACAAAAATACCAGGGAGGTAGAGAAATTTGAAAAAGCAGCTGAGATTCTCCTGCTGGCCTTGTAGAAGCAAACAAACAATATGAATTGCGTGTGGAGGGGCCATATAGCAAAGAACTGGGGGCTTTTAGCAATTGAAAGCATTCCCCAGACAACATCAAGCAAAAAAATTAAAAGGGCCTCTAGTACAGCATCTATAAGGAACTGTTTTGTTGTTTTTAATCCTCATCCTATGGCATGCTTAGAATGAGAAAAGGGGAGAGAGAGAAACATTGATCAGTTGCCTTCCATATGCTCGCCAACTGGGATCAAACCCACAAACCAGTTATGTGTCCTTTTAGTGCACCAACTGGGCCCCTCCAGACAGGAGACCTGAGTTTTGCTAACAACCTGTGAACTTGTAAGAGGACGTGAAGCCTCAGACAGGATCATAGCCCAACTCAAAACTTAATTTCAGTATGTGACAGAAAGGCCCCAAATAAAGCCTGGACTCCTGATCCACAGAAATGAGGTGATAATAAATTTGCATTGTTTAAGTCATTCGTTTTGTGAGCATCTGTTAAACAACAATAGAAAATCAATACATCATGTGTTATAATCAATAAAATAATGCTCATGTTTGCTTATAAGTTTTGTCCACATCAAATATTTGTTAGCTTAAATATATTGCCTTTCCTATTGTAATCCAGCAACAAATAAGCTTCCATTTTCCTAAAATCTGAACACTTCAAATTTGTTATAAAACATTTTATCTTTGAGCTTTAGTTGACTCTTCGAGACACAAAATATATCTAAAACTGAAAACTGAATTTAAAAGTATATATCCTAAAGTTTTGCAAACTTACTATTTTAGAAAATATTTACCATAGTCCATCATCAGAGAAAAAGATACACATTAATATACTTATTTCTCCTCTATGTTAATCACTAGAATATATCATAGTATGAAATACATCACATTGTGAGCTTATTCACCCATTGTGTGAATATTTTATTACAATATGTAATATGTGGGAAAAAGAGACTAATTTCACAATCAAAATTAATTGTATAAGATTGTATAATTATAACTTTCCCAACATGACAATGTGTCATCTAGTAAAGTTGGGGGGAAAGTTTGGCATAATTACCGATCATACAGTGAGAGGGAAAAATAAACTGCCATCTAGTATTTCCAAATCATAACAACTAAAATTGTCTTCTGTACTTTTATCAAATAGAAAATTTGTAGTCAAATAAATTTATAAATACCCAGAACCAAGTTTCATATTGTTAGTTGTTCTAATAAACCTTTTTTGTACTATTAAAAATAAAGTTTGATCTTTTAAAGACAATCTATGTTAAGTTAGCCTACCTTCCATACTCAAAGTCCCCATTTTAGACTCCAAGAAATCAAATAATGTGCTTGGTGCTGATGGCCTTGCATTTCCCATTTCTTCTTCATCTTCAGTTCTTATTCGCCCCCTGCCTTTTCCTTTACCTTAAGAAGTAAGACATATATATTGTACATGCAAAAACAAAAGGAGAAAATACACTAAAATATAACTAGCAGATATCTTAAGTAGGATTTTGTATATATTTCTTTTCATATTTTTTGTACAGTCTACATCATTCATAAGAAAAATTTTTAAGTGACTGTATTAACTAGTACATTTAATCCTCTAAAGTCTAAATGATATATCTAGAAATTTGATTTTTTTCATATAAATTATCTTTAAAAAATCATTTTCATACACTTATTTTTCAAACAAATATAGGATTAAGAATGGAAAAAAATCACATAATACATTTGACTGTGTAATTAAAAATCACATGATGGTCCATAACTGGTTTGGCTCAGTGGATAGAGCATCGGCCTGAGGACTGAAGAGTCCCAGGTTTGATTCAAGTCAAGGGCATGTACCTTGATTGTGGGCACATTCCCGTCAGGGGTGTGCACGAGGCAGCTGATTGATGTTTCTCTCTCATCGATGTTTCTAACTTTCTATCCTTCTCCCTTCCTCTCTGTAAAAAATCAATAAAATATACATGCATTTTTTTAAAAATCACATGATGCATTCAACTATGCCACATGTGTCAAACACAAGGCCCGCGGGCCAAATCCGTCCCGCCAGGCCTTGCAATGTGGCCCACACCACGCTGTCATCACTGCACTCCGCTGCGTTTCCATCACAATGACAGTTTATGACTGTTCAGTAAACCATTCGGCCCGCGATTTAGGCTGGATTTTAGATTTTGGCCCCTTCTCTGATTGAGTTCGACTACGCAATTAAATAATAACACTAAATAGTCATGTTCTTGTTCATTTAAAAAGTTTGCAGACTCTTTAGTCATTTATACAAGTGGTAGGTTAATAGAACTAGTCACTTTATATTTCCTGTATTACATCAACCCTGTCAAAGTATTGTTAGACCTACTTTATATAAAAATGAAAGCAATGAAATACAGCATAACCTCTCAGGTCTCTGTAGTTCAAAATTAGAACTTATCACAGTGGTAAATAAAGTTACAGCCATAACAGCAACAAAACCCAGGCTCTGTCAACAACATATATTCCTCTGAAAAGAAAACAATGCTATCTGGCACATTGCTTAATGAGTTATACCTCTCAGAGGTGGACCTGAAACAGGTTTTTGTTTATTGCTGTTAAGGAGTACATTCAATGCTGCTTCTAAGTTGTTGCCATTATCCATAAGAGCTTGCCTTGATGCTTCCTTACTGAAGCCCATTTCTGTTATGTGCTTCAGAGCCTTCTCATCAACCTGTAAGGAATGGAGAGAAAAGCTATGCTGTTAGGCAATAAATAAAGCAAGGTGTAACTTTTCAACTGTATGTTGTTTAACATTCTTTTCATTGAATTTATTGGTGTGACACTAGTTAACAAAATTATATAAGTTTCAGATGCTCAATTCTATAACACATCATCTATACACTGTTCTGTGTATTTATCACCCTGTCCATCCGCCACCATCTACCTCTTTAACTTGAATTTCAACAACTTGATTACAATGTATCTTGCTGTGTCTCTCTTTGAGTTTATCATCCTGGAGTCTACAATATACATGAATTTATTGCAATTTTTTTTTTCCAAACAGCAAAACAAAATCTCTTTAGACAAAATTTGAGAAAAGATGAAGATGTGGGAAAGGGTAGAAAAGGGCAGATAACTATGTTTTTGATGCATCAACTTTTAGGATATTATTTCCATTGAATGTCTTCTATTTAATTTGATAGGTTTTTATCAATATATTCCAAAATATGTTATTCAGAAGTTATAAATTAAAGTAAGTTATTTTTCAAAAAATCCAAGTTTTCCATGAACTAATTGTAAATCTTAATGAAAGCCTGCTAGAGTTATAACATATATCTATAATACATTGAACAATACCAGCAGTGGTTATGAGAAAGAATAAAAAAATCATCAAGGCTATTAAAGAAAGTACAGATGAATTTTGTGTTGGTTCATTATCCTTACCAGTTCTCTATAGACAGCTTCATGTTTCCCCTCTGATTTGGTTGGCTTTTCTTTCTGTAAAATTTCCCTATTTCGGTTACCAGCAGCACTCATATTGAGATTACTTCTTGCACTACCACCACCTCCTCCAAATGTCTTGGTCTTTAGGTAAGAGAAAGATAACAAAGATGTAGGTTAATAGCATTTGAAAATAGTCCTAAAGACTAAGCTACAACTAAAAATATCTAGTAAAACTGAGGTAGTTTTCATTGTTTTATATTAAAAAATCAAATATTAGCTAGGTTTTAAATAAATATCTAATAGCCATAACTTCTTTTTTCTATAAGTTTAGGCAAGGCAATAAGATAATTACATAACTATAATCTTTAAGTCTCCAAGGCAAGTCATCAGAGTAAGTAGATAATAATATAGTAGAAAATAATAAGCACTATGGAGATTATTTGTCAAAAATAATTCTAGGGTAAAATATTTGACTAATATCATGAGGCCTGGGTTAGAGGGCAAGGCTATCTTCAATACGGCACTAAACCTGTCTAGAAATTAGTTACATTATGTTCATGATCCAACTCTATAATTCTATAATCTTAGAAAGTAAATAAATAATATAAATTTTAACACCAGTTTAAAATTTTCATTACTAATTATTTACATTAATTACATAGGCTGTGTCTTAACATCTGTGTATGAAAATTTTGAAGTCCACAGTTCTTATTTTACCTAGCTTATTTGAAATAATTATATGTGTAGTCAAATTTGAAAATTTTGATATCACTTATGTTTTTTTAAAACTATTCTGAAAAACTAGAACATAAAGAACACTGATTTGGAAACATACTAATTCATAATTTAAAAGTATCCCACAATTGTTACTTGTATAATATCAAGTTAAACATTTAGTTATATAGTAATATCTTTATAAGCTAATAGATTCAAAGGAAGTTCTCAAGACTTGACTTTTATTAGAGATAGTGATCAATATTTAAAAATGTGTTTTAAACTTAGTACAGTAAGAAAATAAAACATGCTAGATATAAATTCATATAACATTGAAAAATTATTTTGTATCGGATAAAAATATAAAGGAACAGGACCTGAAATATAGAAAAATGATGTTAGATAAGCATTAATGGACAACATGTTAAATATCTCTATTAGGTATTGAAATACCACAATATCTAAATTTAGTTCCAATAAAAATAAAATCACATCTTTAAAAACCACAGATGTATTACTGGATTCATTCAATTTTTGGTTTATGCAATCCCAGCAAGAAAACAGATCTGGAATGTCCTGATAGTCATTACTTACATAATCATAAAGAAAAATGTGAGTTTATATTAATGTGATACAAAGTTTATTAGAATGTAAGACAATGTTTGTACTATAGTTAAGAACATAGGCTTTGGGGCGAGACAATGGTGGGACTAAATCTTGTCTCAGCCACTTCTTAACTCCTATCCTCAGAAAAGTCATTTAACTTCCTCCTTCCATGAGCCTTAAATTTCTCATGCTTAAAAATGGTACATTTTGAGGATTAAATGATAACAAAGACATGAGTGATAGATTCAGAAACTGGCACATTTTAAGCACTCATAACAAATGGTAATACTACTGCTTTGTTTAATGTTTTAGAACATGGTTACCTGAAAATTCTAGAGCCTGACCTGTTCCAAATTAAAAATGTTTCTGAAATTTAAATTCTGTTACTCCAAAAATATTTTTTTTTTTCCTTTTTGGTGGTAGTGAAATAGCCCCATCTTCTGGATACATTTTCTTACTATTTTCTTTCCATTTTATAGATTAAGGAATAGGATAAATATCATTTTCAGAATTGCTTTTTAGTGTTTTAAAACAGTTGTTACTCACTAAACATGCAAATATCTAGAAACAATACAACTTAAACATTACCCATAGGCAACTGATGCCCTTTATTAGCCACATCATTTTGTCCATATTATGTGAATCAGGCATCTGTGAGATCAACATTACCATGAGGCCTGGTACATGAATTTGTGCATGGGTGGGGTCTGGCCAGCCTGGCCAGGGGGAGGGGACATGGGCGGTTGGCCAGCCTGTCTGCTGGGCAACTCCTGGTCGAGGGGACAATTTGCATATATTACAGTGTATTAAGTATATTCTAGCAAATAGATAGCAGTAAACACATCAACCAAAATTTTGGGAGAAAAGTTTGTTTGAGAAAAGTATAAATCAAAAGAACAACTTTCCTATAGTTATTAAGAAATTGATATATACCCATATCCTCTTCTGAAATTACATAATTTTAATAGCTTTTGGGGAAAAAGAAATATAATTTCATGTAAACTGTGCAAAATATATTAATTTCAAAAATATTAAAAATTATTTTTAATGTGCTTTAAAATAGAAAAAACACTAAAGAATAGCAATAGTCAGGATTATTAAGAGCTTTTTTAGCAAAGGAATATTGTGATCTATGCCATGTAGTGTTCTAAATGTTTTAAAGATTATCAATTTTAATTCTCACCATAACCACATAAACTGGGTACTATTATTACCTTCTTTTTATAGACAAACAAAAATAAATTACAAAATTTAAGCAAGCTATCCAAGGTTGTCAGCAGATATGCTTTGAAGCTGCCTGATTCCAAGGTTTTGCTTTTGGTGTCTACATTAGACTGATGATAGAAAGACATGCTGCAGGAAGAACCAAAATGCAAGGAGTCTCCTCCTTAACTTTGAATTTCAATAAAATACTTATATTGTTATTATCTTTTCACATACGGTAATAAATCCAACGAACTTTTGACCTTCTCCATGTATCAGTGAAAAAAGCCTTTGTACTTTACACATTTTGCTCATATGTTCTTTTTCTAAATCCTCTTGATAAGTCCATTAAGTTATTCTTGCTAGCAAACCACCCTTCTTTTCTCCCTTCCTTTTCTTATTTTTTAACAGTATAACAGCTAAACCCAATGCTATATATTTCTGTAGAGGGTTTCCTGTTATTAGTTGGACTTGGATAATTTTACCCTCAGCAACTTAGAAATGTAGGTAAAAATCAGAGACTAAGGACTAACAATTTTGTCAGTTTTCATCCTTAAATGTTAAAACTGTTTTTTTCCTTTGGATAATATGTGTATTTATACATGTGTGTACCCCTGGCCCCATCACTTACTACTAATAGTCAAATGTGTTTTTTTTAATTATTTTTAATTTCTTGCTTATTTGAAATAGGTGTTTTCTCTACTTATTGATTTTTAGATTTCTATAAGAAATTTTAATTCATGAATTAGTTGCTTAGATAGGCTTTTTTTAAACCAGTGAGATTGAAATCGTTTTCTTTATTCAAACCAGTAATGAGTCTTAGCTAACTGCTTTTTAAATAGAATGACAAGAATTAAGAAAATTTTATTATAATTTAGTTTTCTTACTTCTTTGCTCTTTGCAACCTCTGCAATAGCAGCAGTCCTTTGCTTTTCAAATTCATCATTATCATTTGTGGATTTGACAGGCATTGTAACTTGCAGTGTCTTCCTTTGATCAAGTTCTCTGCTATCCATTTGGACATTAGACACACACTTCTGATAATAATAAATAAAAATTAATCACATCAGTAATTCCCAAACAGATTCAAGGTTTACATAATAAAGTATTACTTCTTAAAAAAAGCGTCTGTATCTTAATAACAGAGAACCCATAAAAATAAAATTCTTTCTATTTATAAATAAAGGTAGAAAACTGATTAAAGTAACTTTTAAATAAGTACAAGTAGTAAATAAAGTGAAAAGCTTCAGAAAAATGTCCTCCCGCCCCAATAGGGCCCATGTTTAAAACATACATTGAACTATGAGAACTAAGTTTCATTTTAAGATAATGACAAAATATTTTAATTTCAAACAGTCTAGACCACTGCACAAGAAAAGGTAAAATTCAGATTTTTAATCAGATTTATACATTATGGCACAATATCCTTATGAGGATTAAGTAGTATAGTTACTTAACATATAAAAAGATGTCTCTGAACTTATAAACCAAAAGCTAAAAGCATACCCTCTCCCTCAATCAAGCTGCAAAGTTTTTTATTTTTAGTTTCATAAATTGAGAAAATCATCATTGCCTAAATATAAGTCCAATCATAGTCATCATTGCCTAAATATAAGTCCAATCATAGCAGTAAAAATCTTATAAAATAAACCTTTTCTCAATTCATTAATAACAGTAAAAAAAAATGCTCTCAGACAAGTTATATAATTATAGATTTTTAGCAATAAAATATATACTGTTGATACCAGTACACAGCCAGTATTATCTACCTTTAACCCATATATAAGTCTAAGTAAGATATGCTGAAAAAAAATTTTCAGAATGAACTATATAAACAACTATTAAAACTATTACTTTTATTATACTTCCTAAGATTAAAAAAAATCATAGAACACTCTTCAAGATCTTGTAAATAATTAAATCACAAGTCTGAGAAGTTTTTGAAAGAAATATTATCACCAAAATATTCAAGAGAAAATCAAATTCTTACAAATATAGCATTTATCATTTTCAAACACAAATTATTAGAATATTTATACTATTTAGATTCTGGGTTTGTTTGTTTTTTTATTACATTGGTAAAAGTGAGAATATCATCAGCATAGATCACACCAAAGGGCATCATGCCTCTTTTTATCTTGACTGTTCCTTGTTGCAAAGCACAATAAAATTAACATATTTTAAAAATACTTTCAAAATAGACATGATGCAAGAATGACTTCCATTTAATTTTTAGTAGACTCCACATAAAGGTTTTTGAAGAGGAGTGCATCTGATCCTACTCATTTATCTTCTGATCAGCTAGTTATCTTTTTCACACACACAAAATTTTTAAAGTTGTTACAGAGAGATAGATTTCTGTTTCCTACCTGTTGTGTCCCTAACTCATCTTCAGTACTCTCAAAGAAAAATAAGGAGCATATACAAGGTAGAATACTGATAGCTAAATCTTAGTGGCATCATGTGGCACAAAGCAAGCTGTCACAGAGATTATTCTCAAACTCTCCAGGGATAAAGCAAGGATAGGCGAGAGTAGACAGCTATGAATGCAGTTTGATGATGAACACAACCAGGAAGACACAAGATACCAGCTGAGTGGCTATACAGGGAGAGGTTGAAAAATAAGAAGTAGACAGAAAACCTTTAGCTTATGTCAGAGAAGGATCAGGGATGTTGTGGTTGAAAGGAAAATACCAACTGAAAATAAAATTAAATCCCTGACAAATAAAGGAATTTGAATCAAAGCAGATGAATAGAACCTTTACAAGAAGGCCTGGGAAAGCAGGCTCTGCTACAGTGCAGTGATGCCCCTTCCTGCCTCCGGGGTCCTCACTTTTCTGTTTCATACTTCTGTTGACACTTTTATTTTCTCTCTCCCTCTTTTGTTTTTAATGGGGGGAAAAATGATAAATTATAGCATATTTTTCTTCTTTTGCATTTCTCTCTCTCAAAAAAAAAAAAAAATGCTCCACCCCCATCTTATCTTAGTTATAGTTGCTCTTCAGGTGTACTTTTTATTTTTTTCAATTTTTACATTAACAGTTCTTGAGAAAATCAATTTAATTATAGTGAATAAAAAACTATTATTAAATTCCTTTACTGAATATATTTCCATATAACACCATGACCTCTGAATGAATAGTTCAGCACAAAACTAAACACAGCTTAAATACAGATGAAAAATACTTTTTGCTGATTAAAATTCATCTGCCACATAAAAGTCATTACCTGTCCAAAAGGCACAAAAGGAGGTGGTCCACCTTCAGTTCCAATATTGCTTCTATTGTGTTTTGACAAGCTCTGTGAGAAAAGTGAGTCACAAAATATAAATTATACATAAAAAAATATATTTCGAACATTTACAGTGCACCAGGACTCTACTAAATTTAATACATTCCTATTTTTCAAAAACCACACACACAGGGGGGAAAAAAAGCTTTCTATAAAATATTTCAGACTATATAAAATATTTTGTTCCTAACTTCAATAATTAGGTAAATGTCCTCTCCTTATCTCCCCATACCAAACACACACTTAATGCTCTAGCTGGTTTGGCTCAGGGATAGAGCATCCACTGAAGGGTCCTGGGTTCAATTCAGGTCAAGGGCACATGTCCAATTTTGGGCTCAATCCCCAGTGGGGGGTTTGCCGGAGGCAGCCAATTAATGATTCTCTCTCATCATTGAAGTTTCTATCTCTCTCTCTCCTTCTCCCTTCCTCTCTGAAATCAATATATATATATATATATATATATATATATATATATATATATATATATATATATATATAATTGAAAAATACTTCTATAAAAAAACAAACACATACACATTCATTACAGTTTTCAAAAGTATTTACCAAGCTACTCCTACAAAAACAAAATACAGTAAAAACTCCTCAACAAGTAGCAAATGCAAAGATAATAGACTTTGGTAAAAATTTTACTTTAAAGCATATTATATATATGAAAGTCTAAGCAATGGTTAAGATGGAACCACCAACACAGGAGCTCAATGCAGGAGCTGCCTTGAGGCTCCATCAGCAATCAACTCAGGCCCCGATTGCTGATGGGGACTGCTAGCCACCCTCCGGTCCCTCCCCAAAGCCAGCAGGCCCTGATTGACCCGCCAACCAGTCAAGGCTGGCCTCCAGGCTGGAACAGGGAACTGGGAGTGAGTGGCTACAGACACAGGTGGCAAGGGAAGGAGGCAGGGGGTGGCAGGGAACCTGACTAGCCTTGATCACAGCCAGGCCTAGGGACCCCACCCGTGCACAAATTTTGTGTACTAGGCCTCTAGTTAAAACTATAATCTGATAGGCAAATATTCTCTGGAAATTACTCTTCAAATGTACTTTTTAGACATAAAATCTATTACCAAACAACATACTTGTCATATTGCAATATAATAAGAAATATATATTTGGTCTTTGTCCCCAATTCTTGTAACAGAATTCTGAAATGTTGTAACTAGAAACAGTTCATGGGAATACTGATAACAGAGGTTTCCACTTATTTAAAGAGATAAAATTGTTACATTTCATAATATGCTGATTACTTTCAATTACAAAAATATCCTTAATAAAGACTTGGTTTCATTGGAATACCTTCTTGTGTCAGATATATGGAACAAATTGAAGATTTGATTATTTAAAAAAAACAAAAGACAAACAAAAAAGACTTGTTTTAAAAATCAATTTATATTTTGATGAATATTTTAAATAATTGAACGTTATTTAATAAAAATAAGCTTCCAAACTAATAATTTTGCTTTCTTTTTTTCCTAGCTCTCATATTTAAAATTGCTCCTTGCAGAGGCAATTCCTCACATTATAAATTCCTTTGAATGTCATGAGGAATCTTCAGAAGGACGGACTCCTTCCGGCCACCCATTCTTCTTATCTGTTTCATTTTGCGATATTAACATATATCTGTTAAGCACTAGCTGTCATTTAATACAGCTTCTTAACTGTAAGCTTTTCCACACACTTTTTAGTAATTATCATTATAGAAAATATCACCTGTGTTTTTATACTATTATACAAAAATTAACTCAAAACGGATCAGACCTAAATTAAGAACTAAACTCATAAAAACTTCTAGAAGAAAACAGGGAGAAAGCTTTATGACTTTGGATTTGGTAATGACTTCTTGGATATGACACCAAACACAGCAAACACAGAAGTAACAAAAGAAAAGAAAAATAAATTGAACTTCATAAAAACTTTTGTGCATCAAAGGACACTATCAACTGAGTAAAAAGGCAATTCCTGAAATGTGAAAAAAATAATTGCAAATTATATATCTGGAAAGGAAACTGATATCTAGAATATACTGAGAAATCACACAACAAAAAAGAAAACTGATTTAAAAATTAGCAAAGGACTTAAATAGATACTTCTTCAAAGAAGATAAACAAATAGACAATACTAGCAAGAATATGAAAAAAATAACAAGAGTTGGCGAGGATGTAGAAAAATTGGATCCTTTGTATATTACTGATAGGGATATAAAATGGTGCTAATGTCACTGTGGAAAACAACATGGTAGTTACTACAAACAAAATTATAACTTATGATCGCTCAATTCGACTTCTGGGTATATGTCCAAAAGAAATGAAACCGAAAACTTGAACAGGTATTTATACGCCCATGTTCATAATAATAGCATTATTCACAATAGCCAAAACGTGAAAACAGCCCTAATGTCATCAGTGGATGAATGAACACAAAGTAAGATACACACATACACACACACACACACACACACACACACACACACACACACACACGAATATCATTTAGCCTTAAAGTTAAGAAATTCTGACATGCTACAATATGAATAAAACTTAAAAGACATTATGCTAAGTGAAGTAAGCCAGACAAAAAAGGATAAATATTGTATGATTCCACTTACATAAAGTACCTAACTAGTCAATAGAGAGAAAAATAAAAATCTTGGTTGCCAGAGACTGAGAATAGGTGGAGAATAAGAAGTTAATGTTTAATGGTACAGAATTTCAGTTTGGGAAGATACAAACTACTTTCTTCTTTTCTTCACCTGTATGTAATCAATTTGCTACAACTACACCAGCTGCATATGATTTAAATATTATTCAATGCTCTCTTCCCCTATTTATTTTATAAGAAAATTTAGGGCCTTTTTAATTCCAAAATTTTCTCTATGGATTATGATTTCTATGTGTGCATTTGGTTTCTGTGTGTACTAGTTGCCAGATGTTCAAGTAATTGAACTCTCCACGGTTTCTACATTGCTATGGTTACCAAATCAAAAAACTATAAAATGATAGAGAATTATAATTATAGTAAGATGTTTTTAAACTTTTTCATGTAAACTTTTATTGCTATTCCTAACAAGAAATACTAACAGGTTTTCAGGAAACAAAAGTGCAAATATACATAGTAAAACATTACAAGGACAACTATGAAACTATTACTAATCTGTGTGTGTGTGTGTGTTCCTCAGTGTGTGTGCATGTATGTGTGTGTAATGAGGAAGTTCTTAAAATGTTTAACTGACTTTTCAGTCAAAGTAGTTAAGGCTGGGTTGGGAAAATTATATAAGATGTTGGTCTGACTTGAGAACATCTTACCACATTTTTAAAAACCTCTAATTATAATAAAAATGTATCAACTTGTGAAAGGGTCACATAAAATGAGTGGGGTTTTGCTGGGAAAGTCAAAGTTCATATATTTGGCTCTTTATTAAAACGATCAAACCTCCACTTATTTGTTTTGGCAACATTTTCAATTAAATAATGAAGTTATGAAACATTATCTTATGCACAGCACACCAGCCCCAAATGTAGCACATTATTATTATAAGGAATCGGTACAGCAGCCCCAAATATAACACAGTATTATCATAAGGAATGAGTATTAAGAAATAAAATATGTGCTGAATTCTCCTTATCTACTTACCTCCCAACAGAAGCACTTTTAAACTAAGAAAGTAGAAAAAAGAAATATATCATAAAATACCAGGAGTTTGAAATATTGTTAGGCCCCAAGGCCCACTTTAGGCAAGAACTGAGAGTAACACAAGAAAATTAATTTTAGCTCAGAGAGTAATTAGCTTTTGTGCTTTGTAATTCATTCATTTCACAATTATTTGCTATGATGTTTATTACATGTAAGACTCAGAGCAACCACTTTGGAGATATAGGAAAGCTCAGACCCATCACCTATCAAGTGTCTAATTATAAAATAAGTTAGTTAACAGTTCTTAGAGTCCATTTTCTGATCTATATAAACATAAAACTCCCCCATAAGACTGTTAGGAGGATGCAAGAGCTCAGCACAATACCTACATACTGTTCAATAAATATTTATAGAACTGAACACAGATGATACAAACGAGAATTCTGATCTTAAGAGGCCTAACGGAGATAAGAAATAAATACAATTTTAGTGCTAAAAAGAGATACACTTCTTAAAATGGATAAAGTACCCCTAGAATTCAATAAAAGAGCAACTACTTCACTTTTAAGCATTTGATCTGAGTCTAAAAGCATGAGGACAATTTGGCCATGCAGGCATTATGAGAAAGAACACAAGATGAATGGTGTAGAAGTGAGAAAAGCATAGAGAGCCAATGAAAGAGTAAGTAGTTTCACTCTTTTGGAATCAAGTACAAGCCTAGAAAGAAACTATTTTTTGTACTCCATGTGCCCAGTTGGAGAGGAACTGGGCACCGAGTGAACCTGAAGGGGTTGCCCAAACCATAGGCCAGCATAGCCTGGGGTCCAGCATCGTTGTCCTCAGCATTGTAACATGTTCCTTTTTTGCTCCCCTCCCAATTCAGTCTGAACCTCCAGGCCCACAGCTCCCTACAGTGCAATTGGTGACCTGGTTGGAGACCTTGAATGTAAATTAACATCTATCAGTCCAGGGACCTGGTGGTAAGAAAGGCTAAAGTAGTCCATGTCTACCTGAAGTGCTTAGCAGTAAAGCAAAAGTAGGATGAGTTTAAAAAAAAATAAAAAAAGTAAGCAGTTCCATTTGGGTAGATCAAAATCTATGTGAAATATGAAATAATTTAGAGGTGAAAAGATAAACTTGAACTAGGGCTAGATTATTAACAGCATTGAACACCAAACTAAGGCATCTGAAATAAAAGCAGGGTGTGATATGTTCTGAGTTATGCTGAAGGAAGATAATATGGCAAAAGGAAATAAAGTAGATTAAAAGACAGAGAAAGAATATGTATATAGATTAGTTTAAAGGCTACTGCAGCAGTCCACAAAAGAGATACTAAAGACTTAAACTAGAGTAACAGCAATGCAACTCGGGAACAAGAGACTGATATAAGATCTGACTACAGTGGATCAACAGAATTGGAAAGTAGAGGAACATTTACTAGATAACCTAGATGACCACAAGGATGAAGCTATTGTTAACATAAATTGGGGAAACATCAACTAAAGTAACTAGAGAGAACTTAGTCACAAGAACCCCTTTATTTTAGTGAAATTCTAATTTGCATTCACTAGTATGTATGTATGTACGTAGATGAAACAAATATGCAGTATGCTTTCATATTTATGCACCAATGGTCTTCTGCTCTACATCATTGGTTTTCAACCTGTGGGTCACGACCGACAGCTTGAGAACTGCTAGCAGGGTCGTCTAAGACCATCAGAAAACACAGATATTTACATTACGATTCACTAACAGTAGCAAAATTACAGTTATGAAGTAGTAATGAAAATAATTTTACGGTTGGGGGTGACCACAACATGAGGAACTGTATTAAAGGATCACAGCATTAGAAAGGTTGAGAACCACAACTTTAAAGTAAATGTCATTTTTCAATATTTGTTTTTGTTTTGTTTTTTTGCATATTTTGAAAAGCTATGTTTTACTGGTAAGTTTTCAAAACTCTTAAGATACCAGTTATAACTCATGTGTGATGTATATCATTGTTTCTGCAAAGCAAGTGTTTGTGTTTATATACAAATACATATATGAAAGCATACCGCACATTTGTTTCATCTACATACATACATACTAGTGAGTGCAAATTAGAATTTCACTATAATAAAGGGGTTCATGTGACTAGGTTCTCTCTAGTTACCTTAGTTGATGTTTCCCCAATTTATGTTAACAATAGCTTCATCCTCGTGGTCATCTAGGTTATCTGTTATCTAGTAAATGTTCCTCTACTTTCCAATTCTGTTGATCTACTGCAGTCAGATGGTCTTAGGCTCTACAACAGCCTAAAACCACTACTATAGAGCCTAAGACCATCAGAAAACATAGATATTTACATTACGATTCATTAACAGTAGCAAAATTACAGTTATGAAGTAACAACAAAAGTAATTTTATGACTGGGAGTCACCACAACAAGAGGAACTGTATTAAAGGGTCAGGACATTAGAAAGGTTGAGAACCACTGCTTTAGAGCACATGTGTCAAACACAAGGCCCACGGGCCAAATCCGTCCCGCCAGGCCTTGCAATGTGGCCCGCACCGCGCTGTCATCACTGCACTCCGCTGCGTTTCCATCACAATGACAGTTTGACTGTTCAGTAAACCATTCGGCCCGCGATTTAGGCTGGATTTTAGATTTTGGCCCCTTCTCTGATTGAGTTCGACACCCCTACTTTAGAGGAACAATGTGCTTAAACAAAGGTAGATAGTTTCTATAAAGATTCCTCTACTCCATTCTATTCAACTCTGACATTATTCACTATGGGAAGGTCTCCTTAAAATACAAACTGCAATAAGAAGAGTGTAGTATTTTAGAAGTTGAAGCCTTTATTCTCAGTTACACTTACTCTCTGTAGCTCCCACTTCTCAATAAGGTGTTCCACTTCTCCCCCAAGGACTGTGGTGTTGGAGTCATTCAGGAGCAGGAATCCATTTTTTATATCCACGATGCCTGAGAGCTTAACTTTAGTTCCAGGTGGTGTGTTCAGGCTAAAGCAAAGAAAAAACAAAGTTAAAACATGCTGAAGCTCCTCCTCAAGACTGATTCAGTCTCATATTATGAGCTGGTCAAGTTCTTCAAAATGAACTAACACAAAAACTCTTTCCAGGAATAAAATATATATATATATATATATATATATATATATATATATATATATATATATAACACACCTCACAAATAGATAAATAGAAATAGATGAATAAGCTTTCTCAATAATGCCATGCTATACAAATATGATTTGCCATTTTTCCCTGAGCTTTGGCTGTGCACTGACATGATATACTATATTACAAATTTAAATTTTATCAAAGGAAAATATATCTGACCAGTAATAGTCCTAAAAATTACACACACACACACACACACACACACACACACACACTCTAACACTCTAGTAGCCCTGTGCACGAATCCATGCACCAGTAGCTCTCTGTGGGGCCTGCTTGTTCTGTGCCTGCTGCCCAGAGGCTCTCCATGATGCAAGCGTTCTGCACCCTGGTTTGGCCAGAGGCCCAACCACAGCTGGGCACAGAACGCTTGCCACGTCACTGCAGCAACGAAGCAAGCACTCCGCCAGGCCACTCATGCTGCCCACTCTCAGCAGCTGCCCTCCTGGGACTGGGGGACTCTGGCAGGACCGAGAGTTCTGGGTACCACCATCTTGTGGCTATGGGCACTGCCAGCTTTGTGATGGAGTGACAGTTAATTTGCATATCATCCTTTTATTTGATAGGATTACTAGATAGGATGAGCTACCATAATTCACAAAAATAATGTTCTTTTTTTGTTAACCATGTAATTAAAGATCAAATGAGAGTTACTTAAAGTGTACTAACCTAAAAGAACTTTTCTATAATGGACTAATATTATCTGTTTGCAGGGAAACATTACACTACAACCCCTTTTACAAAGACCAGAGACAAGCTGTTTATCCTTCTATTAAACTTTTGGTAGAAGAGACAATGGAAGAAATCCATTTCATCACATAGGTTTATTCTAAAGTTAAAGCACATATACTGAACCCTCCCTCGTCTCTTTGCCCATTTAGCAAGGGCAAAGCACTCTAAATAGGAGTAAAGACGGTCCTAAAACACTAAGAATGGATTAGAAAATCATGCCAAAATGGCTTCACATTGTTCACATTTTAAAAGCTCAAGGCATTCACTATAGGCTGATACATACAAAAGCAGATCAATGAAAGCACTGGTCTATTCTGGAAAAAAAAAAAAAAAAAGTTCTTAGAAGAGTTGCTAAGAAGAAGAAACAGAATATTCCTGTTTTAAAGCTTCAGAGTCTGCACGCAGAGCAAGACGTTTTGTGTTACATGCCACTGAGTCAGCTCCGACTCCTGGGGCCCTACAGAGATGTCCAAATGTCTGGACAGCTTACAGCCAGCTTGCAGCAAGCTCTTAATCTTCCCCAACCCAGGACATGTGAGAACAAATGGTTAATACCTTTCCTCTCTATCCAGAGAATACATAGCTAAAATCTCCCTGGTATTGCTAAGGCAGGATAGGAGAAGAACTTAAGAAGGAAGAGTTTTATCTCACCCCCTAAACAAAGAAGTCAGCTGTTTTGGGGGAGGAAAAAGAGGGAATTTTATCTCACTCACTGAACAAAAAAGTCAGCCATCTTGGGACTTGCCAGATGTTCTCATAAATTCTGGGAAAGGCCACAACAAAGTAAAAGGGGGACCCTGAAGTCGGCTCTGTGCTGAAGACATCTGGAAGAGGAACCTTGAAACCTGTAGACAGGGTCTAAAACCCCTTGAACCTCCACCGGGCTGAGAAGTCTGTCTGTGCTTCATAAGCCAGATATATTTTGATAAATTTGCTTGCCATGCTTCTTTAACAAATTCACTTTATTACAACACAACTGTCCAGTGTCACTTGTTTGAAGTCTTTCTACAAGACTGACAAGCACCAAGGAGAGGACAGCCCTCTCCCTCCACTGGATAATACCTTTTCTGTTGACAATAACACCTCCAGCACCAGATAAAGGAGCTGGAACACAACAGATGCTAAGTGCTTGTTAAATGCTTACTTAAGAGAGAAGTATGAAATGAAAAGCTCAGAGCAGCAAACATAAGCATGTAAAATAACAAAAAAGGTGGTTTAACAAATGCCTAATGAAAATTTCCATTTCAGAAAATAGAGCTCAAACTGACCTAATAGGGCACTGAGGATAAAGGACATCCCCTCCCTTATTGCTTTTCTCCATGCTAATAGGCGTGATTATGAAACCTCTCATGAAAATATCAAAAGAAGGATTTGGAAACTTCTGCCTTATGGAGTTCCCATTTCTCTTAGAAAGTATGGTGGCTATGAACCTCCCTCATGGCAATCATTTCCTTAGAAAACTCATTTGCTATGAACTTTCCTATGAACACAAAATAGTGTAATGAATACAGCTAACTGTCCAGAAAGAATTATAACGTAGTTAAAGAAATTAGAATGACCTCAAATTTACTGACATGATTGAAAAGATTACTTTTCATGCAAAAACACCTTTAATTTCTGTTTTCATAATTAATATTGAAGAAAAGAGTAACTAACTCCATTCTTACCTATTTTTCTATACAGATAAATTAGAAATATAAACTTCAATTTCTTCTTAAAAATCCTAACATGCACTAAAGAATTCATTCCTCTTCTCAAAGTTCTTAAAACAAAATCCATTTGAAAAGCACCTTCAAACACTGTAACAAATATATAAAATAAAGTGCCAATCACCTTATTTTTGACATATAACTGTATTCTACTGCTGTGCAACTTGTATGACCATCAGTCATCTGCAGTCGCAACATTCTCGGAGCAGCCTGAGACTCTTCATTATCCTTTGGCGCAGCAACATTGCGAATTTTCTGAATTTGCAAAACACATGGACCTTCAAGCTGTCAAAACACAAAGAAATAAATATCACATTCTAGCCACAGCTTTGTTTTCATTAATCGTGCATCTCTTTTCCTTAATGATCAGGCTTTATGATTATAATGATCACTTCAATTAAATAAGATCAAAACTTAAATTATATTACATAGATCAGGGTGTGTATTTTTTATATTTTAAGATAAAGAGTCTCCTGAAAAAATCTTAAAAATTATTCTGGATTCATTTTCAGAAAATAACAAGAAAATTTTAGGAAAACAAAATTATATTTCTGAGTCAAAGTTGTATTAATAGATGTTTTTAGTCTTATGTGCTCTAATTCATTCACATAGATTTGCCTTCTCCTCCCATGCACATTAAGGGACATTCTGGAATTAAAGAATGTAATTTTTAAAGAAATATCAACTTTACAGTAGTAGTTAAAAGGAATGTTTTCTGTTCAAAAACATCAAATTCAAAGTACACCCTCTATGGCATAAATGAAGAACACAATACTCTAAAATTTTAACTATTTAAAGTTTAACTTATTTAATGTAAGTATTTTAACTTATTTTCACATTTCCTTTTTAAATAAGATTAAATCTAATGCTATATTACAGGCATTGTCAGTGGAGGGAAATTCTCTCTTTCCACATTCCAATCAAAGACAAAAATCTAACTCATGGACTAGATATTACGTTAAACATTTCATATAATGAAACAGTAATAGCATGATTGGAAATCACAGCAAATTCTGCGTGCATGTCTAAAAAATAAATTTAACATAAAGTGATACTTTTCACATTATTAAATACTAGAGGCCCGATGCATGAAATTCGTGTAAGAGTAGGCCTGCCTTCCCCCAGCTGCCAGCACCAGTTTCCCCCTGGCACCCCGGACCCAGGCTTTCCTCCGGCCACTGGCAGGCACCAGGCCCGGGCTTCCCTTGCAGCCCCCGCTTTGTCCGAAAGGTCATCCGAAATGTCTTCTGGAAGGATGTCCAGTCTAATTAGCATATTATGCTTTTATTATTTAAATACTATACCTTTAAGTAAAATATCAGCAAGGAAAAAAAGGCTTCTTGTTATAGTCTTTTAAGTAAAACCTTTCTATGTATGTTAGTGTAGTTTATATTTTCAGCAAAGAGAAATGTAAAATAATTGACATTTTACAGTTAATTTCTCAAGTAAGCATATCCCCAGTTGACAATTTTCTATTCCATATTTACCAGTAATAGGCCTGCAAAGGCCCAGATAATACAGTTAGAAAAAAAGAGGCTAAAATGTCATCTAAATTTTAGTCATTAACAAAAATTCCAAGTTGAGACAAAACTTCCTTTTGTTCTTGTTAATGTCATTAAAATAAAGACATTCTCTTTATTTTACTACTCCCAATATTTTTAGCCTAGACATTCACAAATATCTAATCTGCTGATCTGCTGTCTAATACAGTTCACCAAGCACAAATGAAAAGTTCAATTCTTCAGTCTCACTAGCCACATCTCAGGTGTTATATACCTGACAATGCAAACACAAGACTGTCTAAACCACTGCAAAAAGTTCTATTAGGCAATTTGTGATGTTCTACACCTATGAGCTCCCAACTGCAACCTATACAACCCAGGGAGTACACATCCATGGAAAAACCATTAAACTTCCCTAATATTTCATAGCCAGAGCTACAAGGTGTATCACTCAGTCCATGTGACATACAACTCACAAGGCATCTTTATGGAATTTTGTGAATTGACAAAGCACCTTCATTGGTTTGCTTGATTGTGATAAACTGCCTTTTATTTGTTCACAACTAAGTGGATATATAGATTATTTTACCTAGTTCTAGCCATTAATGCTTACAAAATGTACAAGTGGCTTTAAAAGATACTATCAAAGAAACACAAATTGAAGATAATGCCAATGACTCATATACAGGATAGGAAGCAGACTGTTTTTGCTGATCTCCTACCTCTAGTTGACCATGAGAACAAAATGCTTGGGAATGCTAGGGTGTGTTAGTTTGAAAGTCAAAAAAAGCTAAAATCCAAATTCACAACAATCATTTCTTAGTATGGCAAAACGAAGAATTAGAACACATAAATAGGCAAAAAAAAAAAAGGTATGTGTTCTAGCTCTCACATAGGCTGAGGTTTCACAGGTACTCACTTCACTACGCATACTATAGGTTTGGCCCTGGCCAGTGTGGTTCATCGTCCCCTACACCAAAATGTGGTGGATTTGATTCCCGGTCAGGGCACATACAAGAGGCAAGCAATCAGTGTTTCTCTCTCACATCAATGTTTCTCTCTCTCTCTTTCTGTCTCTCTCTCTTTCTCTCTCTCTCTGTCTCTCTCTTTCTCTCCCCACCTCCTCAATAAAAACATGTCCTCAGGTGAAGATTACAAAAAATAAATATATATATTTGTCTATTTTAGATATTACATTCAACTAATTACATAATGTTTTGAAATTAAGACATTGGGCAGTTCAAAAAAATGTGAGAAGAATTAGAGAACAAGTCTACAGCCTATATGGTAAGAAAAACACTCAAAATCAAATGATGTGCTGGTAAAATAGTTCTGGGATGGAAAGCTGAGGGAAGAAACCCTAATTTGTAGTATTTTCCCATTTCCATGGCTGATTTCAACTACCAACTAGATATTACTGAACTCTAAATTGGGAAGAGCTGCTGAAGATCAGCATCTAGAAGTAAAAAGGTGGGTCCAGCAGAGTGCAAACCTCCAGCTCTACACCCTGTATCATGGATCTCACTAGCCCTGGATGCTCACCCTGGAAGCTCCATCCTAGCTGCAGCTTATGCTACTAGCAGAGAGGATTCCCCACAGTTCCGGCTTGTTCATGTGACTAGCCCAGGTCCAGCACAGGCACATCTGACTAGCAGAACTGAGTTATAGATATGTATGGCAAAGGAGGCTGGGAAAGTATCTGACATTTTCTTCTTTATCACCCAGGCTCTGAAAATGGGAAATTACCCTCAAAAACAGGAAGAGAATTCAGGTTCTAGGAATTATTCCTAAGTGTCCACTATGCTCATCTTCTGTGCATTGTTATCAATCAAGAAGATTTTGCCAAGCTCTATTTTCTATAGTTTGCACAATGAATTGCTGGTTTCGGTTTTGTATTTTCCAAATAGAATACCACATATGGCATGTCTTTGGATGTGTGTGTGTGTACATACATACAGTGGCCCTGGAACCATGGCTACACAGGTTCACCTATATGCATGTTTTTTTCAATAAATACTGCAAATGTATTTTATCTTTCTTATGATTTTCTTAATAACATTTTCTTTTCTCTAGCTTACTTTGTTATAAGAATACAGTATATAATACATCTAGCTTATATAACATGTTAATTGACTGTTTATGTTATCAGCAAGGCTTATGGTCAACAGTAGGCTACTAGATCAGAATTTGGGGAGTCAAAATTGCTATATGCAGAATTTTTAATTGTGCAGGGGGATGTTGACTCCCCTAACCCTCACACTGTTCAAAGATCAACTGTATACCTATATACACATACATACCCTCCTACCTAAGATTTTAAATAGCCCTCAAATGGGGATCTGCCCACTATTACCTCTTTGAGAATTACATCAGCAAATCCAGTCTAGCAAGAAAAGCAACCTCCCCTACTTCACCAAGATGACAGCTGCCGCTTTACTACATGTAGTTGTGATGCTGCAGCTGGTCCACTATATTGACTGCTGGTTTCTCAACTCATATTAGACTATGTGCTCCAATAGGCAGAGCTGTCCTGTTATCTCTGCATCCTTTGGACTTAGCCTAAATATATTTTCAAAAACTGCTCAATAAAGTATTCCCTTGTGTTTTTAACTATAATTTATCAGCACTTAACAGATATGCCAAAAAGTGTGGTGGGATCTTTTGTAAGTTATTTACTTTTAGGACTATAATGTTAATGTGAGGAGTCATTTGTGTATCTTAATGAGAAACTAGAGCAGAGGGTAAAATACTTTGCCAGAGGTCACTCAGCTAGTAAGAGGCAAAATTAGAATTCAAATTCTGTCTCACACTGAAGTCCATTGTCTTTCTATTACACATCTTAAAACTATGCTAATTTTTTGTACATGCTAAAAGCAGATATAACTATAAAGAGCAATGGGAACATTAATTGTTAAAAATTAATTCTTCTCAGAAAAGGTCAAGAAAATTAGAAGAGAAGTGGCACTGGAGCTGGCTGAAGAATCCGCAGCAGACCGCCTGGCACTGAGGGCAGACTTTCCATTCCCAGGGCAATTATTAAGGTGCTGCAGCAACAGAAGCCTGGCTCTAGGAAGCTGCAGTTCCTTTGTCTCTAAAGTGAAAGGGTGGCAGTGATGATTTCATCTTCAGTGCTGTTCTGAAGAGATAATTCATATAAATTACTTAACATGGGGGCTGGCACAGAGTGGGCTCTCTATGAAGAGAAGTGTTTACTGAAACCCAGGGTTCTCCCAGATAAGTTAGGAGCTTGTGCCAGAAATGGGCAAGAGGAAAACAGGGATACTGAAAGGAAAGGCTTTGGGAAAGTAGTCCCAAATCTCGATCTCAGATTTTTTTTAAGTGATATTCATATACAGCAAGGAAAAAAGAAGGAAAAAATTAATAAACAGCGATGAAAGAAATTTCTGAATCATGAATATGGTGATATATTTATCAAAAGATCTAAAAGTCTCTACATCTTAGGTAATTTTAAAACAGGATACCAGGTATGTGTGGTAATTTAGAAATAAACAAATTATGGCTAGGTTTTCCCAAACTTGAAATACCCTGTAAAAAGCATCAATTTATACATCAAAATAATATCTCAGCACATAGTTTCTTTTCTCAGTCATTCAGAGTACTTACAGCCAATAAAATACAAGGAAAACACTATGGGGCTCCCAGTGAACTCCTATTGTGTCCTTTGCTTATTTCCACATCCCTATCCTTTACCTTTTTAGCTTTTTGTTCTCTAGGAAGATTTTTTTTTTTTTTAAGTATGATGAAAAGTTTGTTTTCAATTAT